GTAGATCTACGTAATGAATTGTGCGCTGGTCTATGGAATCAAAAGTTGACGTATATGCTCAGCTCTACACAGCAACACAACTTTTTCTTGGTAAACAATTGAGATGACACAGGCTTGTGTATTTGAACGAATCGGTCTTTTTTTTTTTACACAGCTCCAGGTGCCAGGTGGTCTGCTAATCTTCAATTTTACCTTTTTCTACAACAAAGAAAGGGGGAAACATGGAGGGGGGGGGGCGTATCAATGAGGCGGCGGGCATCGGATCGGGAGAAAAGGTGTGGGGGAAACTAAAAAATGGCGGAAAATTGGAAGCCCCGAACGTTAGATCTATAGAACGAAGACACTTCCTTTTTTCCGGAGCGGAGTCCGAATAACATTTTTTCATATTCGGACTCGAGTCCGAATAAGAAATTTTTTTATTTGGACTCGAGTCCGAATATGAAAAAATGTTATTCGGACTAACGACGGCCGTTATTTTTACGGCGGTCACAAACTGATGACGTAGAACATGTTTTTCAGTCTTATAAATTCCGTCTTGGCTTGTAGGCCTCCTAGTAGGCTACTACCTTATTTGTTATTTTATAACCTTTTACTAAATGTTAAACTAATAATGTAACATACTTTGAGCTGGTTAAAACCGAGAGTAAGGCATTATAATTTTAAATGTCCTCTATTATTAGATTATAGTGTTTATTCTGGACTTAAAACAATTAAATGTTTTTATGTTCTTTACTTGGACCTTGTTTTTGTGGGATTCTTTCAAATAATAAAATAGATCGCATTTTTTAAAGTTTTTGTGTTTTGTTTTCTGATGTGCTCATATTATTACTGTCCATGTTACGGGGAACAGCTCACCCCAAAGGTGATTCTTTTTCCGATTCATATATTTAGGAAAAAAAATTATGGGAGTGCTTATTTAGGCCACATATATATGGCCTAAATAAGGTAAGGGAGGGGGGTTTAGCTTATTGAGGCCACACATGCTCAAACTACCCTATTCAGGCAACTGAGTTCGTTCCACTTTCATAATGGTGCACCTTTCTCATTTAGTTAAGTTTTGTCTCAGTCTACAACTACTACTTATAAATCATAATCATAATGAATATTGTAAGAGAACAAAGCGCAATACGCAAAATTTTGCTCAATCCCAATGGTTTGAATGAGGGCCAGATTTTTTCCTTCTTGGAGGGGCAAAAGCTAGGCTACCATTTTGGCACACTTTGGTCAAGTGAAAAGGTCATATCCACTGAATGGACTTCCGGGTCAAATTTGGGGTATAAAAAGTGTGTACACAACGTGGCTGAGTCAAAGTTACACTATCTTTGCCTGAGTGGCACTCTCTCGTACTGTCTCGTAGTAGTACATGTAGTAGTAGTAGTAGTAGCAAAGATCGTATATAGAGAATTTTTGGTAGTAGATCTAGCAGGCAATTTAGTGAACGTGCACGCGGCAGGGCAAATTGGCCTCTATAAGCCCCGTAGACTTTTGTGATCGGCCGCGAGCCTCGTGTTTTGATGGGTCTAAACAACTCAGTGTTAATCGCACTGCCACATCCGACAGGCCTACATCTTTTTAAAAGGAAAAGAAAGACCATCAAAATGGTTGAATTCGGGTGAAAATTGATTCGGAGGAACTGGAACTATTAAAATTTGCTTCTGAAAACAAAGCAATTTTTATAAGTCGATGAAATAAAAACTACTGGCTGTGTTATTCTGGAATTGAAATAAAACGAATTGCACAGTTCTAGTTAATTTTAGATTTAGTTACTAATACTAACTGTATTTCCAGAGTTAATAATAACAAATCTCACCATAACAATCACTTTTACTTTTATTAGAATAATTAGATCCAACTTTTTTTTCTAAAATCTGTTTTGCGCAAACTTAAGATTTTCTCTACTTGTAGAGCACAGAATTTACATTGTAATCTCGACCTTCCGAATCCGTGGTTAGTTCAAGAAATCTACCATATGATGTGGCCTAAATAAGGTAAGGGAGGGGGGTTTAGCTTATTTGGGCCATATGTGGCCTAAATAAGGTAAGGGAGGGGGGTTTAGCTTATTTAGGCCACAGTGGCCTAAATAAGGTAAGGGAGGGGGGGTGTAGCTTATTTAGGCCTAAATAAGGTCACCCAAAAATTATACGGGCATAAGAAATAATGAAGAAAGTACATTTGGAAAAGTCCAAAAATATGAAAGTTCCCATGGAATGGAAACAGCACCAACATGCAAAACAAACAATAATTTTTAAAAACCGAAGGCTTCTTACTCTCTAACAAAATTGCATGAAAATTGGTGGAATGGTAGATACAGATGCTGTGGTCAATCGCACTGAGCAAAGTTTTGATATTTGAATGTGAAAAAAAAAAATATATATATGTTCCTGTACCCTGAAATTGCATCACAATAATTAATAAATTAATCATTGTGAACAAAAAATAATAATTTTACACCTCTATCAAAGATCTGCTCTGTGCAAAGGAAGGAGGAACATTTTAAAGGCATTCCCAAGGCGAAAAGTGTTAACTAAAAAATGGCCACTCTTTTTGTGGGTGTGGTACATGTAGTGATGTCGGTGAATGAGATGATGATGCTGGCAGTGGCAGTGATGATGGTAATGATAATGACGAGGAGGTGATGGTGGTGGTGATGATAAAGAGAGGGTGAATGATGATGGTGGGGAGAAGAAGGAAGAGGTGGTGGTGGAGGAAGGGAGAAGGAAGATGAAGAAGAGAATATAATGATGGTGAAGAGGAGGAAATGGAAAACCTATGAGGCTGTTCAAATATATTCTTATACACACTTTTGGGGACTTTTTTAAAACACAAAACCCAAATACCACTTTTCTCACATTTGCCTCCAACCCCCACCCACACCAATTTAATATTAGTACTTTTTCCGATCTTCGACTTCCATTATTATTTTAAAGATACCTGTACTAGATCTATACGTGGCTTTTTTTTACCAGCTTGTAAAAAAAAAAAATCATTTCAGTTAATACGATTTAATCAAACCATATGAACTAGAAAGAACGCATATATATGTGGAAGACATTGAGACTCTTGACAATGCAATAAGTACGTGCCTTACAAATAAAAGACATCAAGACATTAAAAGATCAACAAAACAGTTGCAAAGTTACAAAGAAACATTAAGAAATTAGATATCCATGTACAGAATTTTCATCCTAATTTCAAAATTATTTGTAACCCCCCCCCACCGTCTCGTCGATCTATATAACCGTCCTTGATGTCTTTTATTTGTAAGGCACGTACTTATTGCATTGTCAAGGAGTCTCAATGGTCTCACACATAATATAGGCGCTCTCTAGAGCTCAGATGGGTTGAATACATCGAATAACAGAAAATGTTTTTTTTTTTTTT